GGCACAGGCGGGCAGGGACACATCCCCCAGCATCTGGGCTGGCGGGGGGTCCCTGGGGCTCGTACCAGTTTCCAGCCAGACCCGCTCTGGCGTGGGTGACGATGCCCGCTGGTGCTGGGCTTTGCAATTGTAGGTGCTGTGGAAGTGTTTCTTGATGCAAAGAATAGCTGCCACACAGGATTCTCCATGGTTTTCCTCGCTCTGGCCTCTCCCCATCGAGCCAGATGCAGGTTATCGTCCTCAGTGAAAACAGAAGAGGAAAGGTACTGCTGTTTTACTGCAGAACAAACTTGCCAGCACTGACAGGGACAGGACAGAGCTGGATGATGCTGCTGGCATGCTCACTGTGCCCCCAGCTTGCTTTGCAGAAGACCCCTCGTGTATGTTGGTAGCTGGCAAAGTGCCCCTGGCCCGGTGTCCCCCCGGGCCTTCCCATCTCATTCCTCCACTTGGTCCCGCTCCAGCTGTCTCTGTGGTTGAATTTCCACCTGGGCCATGACCCTCTTGGAGGCTGTATCCTTGTTTTGGGGACCATTGGCAGAGAGGCTCCCAGCTTGGGGTGACCCAGCTCCGCAGCAGTAACGTTGCCTGACCATGTCAGGGTATCTCTCACACATGGGTGAGATCACACATGCCATGCCGGGAGCAGGCACCTCTCCCATGTTTTGGGAGTCTGGTTGCTGCCAGACTTGCCCCTCAGCAAGGCTGGGCTCAGTGTGGGGTTTCACGCCTGTGGCCGCTTTATAGTAATCATCATCAGTCACACCTCGAATACTGTGTTCAGTTTTGGGCCCCTCACTACAGGAAAGACGTTCTGTTGCTGGAACTTGTCCAGAGGAGAGCAATGAAGCTGGTGAGGGGTCTGCAGCCCAATGCTGCTGGGGAGCGGCTGGGGGAGCTGGGGGTGTTCAGCCTGGAGCAGAGGAGGCTGAGGGGAGCCCTTATTGCTCCCTACAACTGCCTGACAGGAGGGGGGAGCCGGGGGGGTCGGGCTCTGCTCCCAGGGAACAGGTGACAGAATGAGCGGAAATGGCCTCAGGTTGTGCCAGGGCAGGGTTAGGTCGGACACTGGGAAAAATTTCTTCCCCGCAAGGGCTGTCAAGCACTGGAAGGGGCTGCCCAGGGAAGGGGGTCGAGTCCCCATCTCTGGGGGGATTTAAAAGCTGGGCAGATGAGGTGCTTAGGGCCAGGGTTTAATGGTGGGATGGCAGGGGTAGGTTAATGGTTGGACCTGATGATCTTAAAGGTCTTTTCCAACCTAAACAGTTCTATGATCTGGATGCCCAGGGCTGCCCTGCATCCCTGGAAGGAGGAGCGATGCTCTGGCACAGGCACTTCCCACCCTGCACTCCCAAAGAGATTTGCTGCTCAGTCTCGATTTTCCAGCTCCGACATAACAATGTAATAACTTTCTAATATAACAGCCACCCGTTTCCCTAGATCATCACCTCTGCCAGTAGGGTGACAATGGGTGCAGTGTCCTTGGCCGCCAGCTCCTCTGTGGTTCCTGGACCTGCTGCGGTGCCTTATCCCTAGGGGTGGACCAGCATTTGCTACTCCCACATCCATTTTTGGGCTCAGAGAAGAGGAAGAAGCCTAAACTGGGGATTCCTGCCACTCCACGTCATGGATTTGGGCACATGCGGCTGAGCGGGGTGGTGTGATGGCAAAGAAGCGGTCACCTGCAGTGCGAGGCACACTCCCCACCACTGAGGAAACTTGCGGGGTGGGAGATTTTAGCACTGGTCACCTTTTGGGAGCTTGCATGGAGCTTGCTGCTGGGAGGGATGCTGGGGAGAGGGTGCACAGCTGCACCCTCCGTGCACTGAGTATTCCCTCTCCTGGAGACTTGGACTCGGAGCAGGGAGCTTGTATTTTCTTTAGAGAGCTTCAGGAAACCCTATAAATGTTCTCCAAAAGAAAACCCCAAGGCTCCAATGATGTTTCTTTTGTTCCCTAGTGGCTTGAGTCCAGCAAATGACAGCGGAGCCAAAAAGAAGAAAAAGAAACCCAAACGGAAGAAAGAGAAAGGAGGAGATCAGCCCAACCAGGCTCAGGACCAGACGGTGAAGGTGACCAACCCCTTCCTGGAGTCGTGGCCCTGCACAAGAGCCAGCCCTGTCCTGAACCTCTTGGAAGTAGCTTAGGGCAAGGAAGGAGTCTCTCAGTCCTGATTTTAGGCATTTGGCTGCTCAAAAAACTTAAGGTTTAGAGTAATTTCCCAGCCTGGCTCCGTGCGTGGGAATTCCCATTGCTGCGGAAGGTGTTTGTGGAGCACTCCAGGGTAAACACGGTCCTTGGCTGGATATCCCAGCCAGTTCCTGCGCTGCGGTGAAAGGGTCAGACTGGCGCCTCTGAGTTATTCTTTCCAGACACCAGCTGCCTCCTCACAGGCAGGGAACCACCACGCTGCCACCTGCCAGCTTCCTCTCCTGCCCACAGCTGGCACAACGGACGTATTCTCCTACTTCTTGGGCGACATCTGATGTTGTTGATTTTTTGCTTGATTAACATAAGAACAGCAGCCGGGTCAGAGCAGGGTCTGTCTTGCCCTTCTTGGCTTTGCCCCATCCTGACTAGCAGTCGGTGCTTGGGGAAGGAGCGTGGGACACGCAGGGTTTGTCCCTGCTGGGGTGGAACCCTCCCAGCCTTCTCGTCCCCACTGGTCCTGTGACAGGGGACACACACACAGATCTGCACATCAACAGAGGCTGTTTTCTGTCCAATGCCCACTTTCCATTCAAATATTTCTAATGTTTTGTCCTTCTGACTGTGCAGAGCATTAAACTGGGGCTTAGGGTGTTTCAAATTAAATTCATTGGGAATCAGGAAGGAGCTGGGGTTGTGAATTCAGTGCAGAGCTGCCCACCCTGCCAAGGTCTGCCTGGGGAGGAGGAGGAAAGTGTCCTTCATCTTGACTTAGCCTCTCTGCCTTGTCCTCGTCCACAGTGCCCAGGGACTCCCATGGAAGCCGCAGTTTGCTTAGATGGAGGAGGCTGAAGCAGTGAGAGAAAAGCCACCACAGAAAGCCCAAGCGCTGGGTGTGGGTTGACCCAGGGTGTCTCTGCATGGGTGTTAGCCAAGGTGAGGCAGGGAGGTTTGCTCTTGGGGTTCTCAGCACCCTTCTTAACTGAAGCTTAAAGCATTTTAAGGCACTTCACCTATCCCCTTCGACCCAGGAGTGCCTGGAAACCAGGTCTAGGGGTGTGGCAGGTCCTGGTGAAAGGGTTCATCCATCTCATAGAGGGTTATAAGAGGATCTAGGTGGGGAAGTGAGTCTTCTCCTTGCTCTCCCCTTCCTGCAGGGTCAGCTCCAGGTTCCCCTAATGAGGAGCTGAAATACAGACCTGGTGGCTCAGCTTATTCATTTTGTCTTTCCACCCTCCTTTTCTGCCCTCAGGTGAACTCTTTACCTGCTGAGAGGATCCAGGAGATTCAGAAAGCCATTGAGCTCTTCTCTGTAGGTCAGGGCCCTGCCAAAACCATGGAGGAAGCCAGCAAGAGGAGCTACCAGTTCTGGGACACGCAGCCAGTGCCCAAGCTAGGTAAGTGCAGCCTCTTGCCGTTGCATGCTCCTTGGGAGAAGCCTTGTGGTCCCCTGGCTGCTCAAAGAAGCCCTCAAAGAAGCTGGTCTCTGGCCAGCAAGCAAGTCCTGGCCAGCACCTCACTGCTGTCCTATTTGGGCTTCAAAGGCATAAGTGACACTTGTCCACCATTCAGCATCATGGACTGAGTGGCCAGCCCTGCCTGTGTGGGCTGCTGGTGGGGGTTGGGAGGGACAAAGAGCCGTATCAGACATTTGATTTGATGCCTCCTGCGTTTGGGCATCCCTTAATCTCAGTCTTTAGCCCTTGAATTGTGTTTCCCCAGCCCTCTGTGCCGAAGTTTCATGCGGGATGTTGCCAGCCTTCCTCTTGCCAAGTCCTAGGGGACTTGGAGCTAACCAGCTCTCCCCTTTCTGGAGGTGGAAACTTCCCAGCAAGGGGTCCTTGGTGGGGAAGGTAACTCAGGGTGAGACGGGGCCAGCCAGTGATGGGAGCCACTCATGGAAGCAGGTCCATGCGCGGAGCTGCTGCATCATTGGTTTGCTGGGCTCGCATCAGCCTCTGGCATGGGCAGGCACTGGGGCTGAGCCAGGAGAGCTGGGAGAGGAGAAGCACAAACCTTGCAAGCATCTGCGCCCCCAAGCTGCCATGCCCATCTAAAGATGGGGAATCCCGTCTCTTTGTCCCCTCCTCCCCCTGCAAACAGCCAGGTTGTGCTTCCCAGCTCTAGTCCTTGCTCCAACCCTTTCTCCAGTCTGCTCTTGATGCTGTCTGCCTGCGTCAAAAGTGATCTGCTGTTGGTAACGAGGCGTTCCTCGGCGTGGCACGAGCTGTTGGCAGCTGAGCAGATCTGAAAGGAAGAGGGGTGCACTGATGCAGAGCTGCATGGCTGGAAGGCGCTTGTTCCCAAGCTAATTGGAGCAAACCTGCAGTGCTCCTGGGGTGCCCGGGATTGCTTCACTTAGCCTCTCTGCCCCTACATCCCCCAGCAAAATCTATGCAGAGCTCAGGAGAACTAGAGAATGGGTCCAAGCCCTTAGTTTCTACATTTACCCGAAGCTTGTCATGGCTTCAAACTGGCTGCTTTTCAGCAATTTCCTTTGTGGGGTTGTATCCAGCCCCTCTTGCTGTAAACACCGTGTTTGATTCCCTTTTCATGTTGTGAGCACCAGTCTGAGGCTTTCTTTGGTCTTAAAGACTTATTTGCTGGGAGCGATGGTCTCAGCTTTGCACTGGGGAAATCATAGTGAGATGGCATGGGGTTGTGTGAGGCAGCAAAGCCTGATCTTGCATTTGCCCTTTTTCCCAGAGGATCCTGGACATGGCAAACATCATTTCTACTTGTGTAAACCCTGGAGAAAGGGTGGAAGGTATCATCTGGGGAAGGAGAGGCACAAAACAGCCCGCTCCTCCATACACCAAATTGCTGGCTGTGCTCTGGCTGCCAGCCCCTTGCTGGGTCCTGCCATCTCTCGTGGTCCTTGATCAAAAGCACTCTCTGGCACACAGTGTTACGTACACAAGGCTATTTAGGGTTGGGTAACAAAAGTGCTGTGGGATTTTAGGGGCCAGATTTCAGAGTAGTTCAGCACCTGCTCAAAACAGAGAGGACAGCCAGGGGTGAGCATTTCTGGAAGCTGCCCTGGGTGGGTGTGATGGGGGAAGTTCTTGCTCTGGGCTTTGTTCACCTCCCCATTGCCTGGAAATCTTTTCAATCCCTTTTTAAGAGAATTCCTAATTAGCGTTGCTTGCTTCTCTTGGCAGCACTCAAGTGATGCCGCTGTGTTGACATCCCCAAGAAAGCCAGTGCTTGAACTGATGTCTCTTGGCTGAATCAGGGGCTTTAGGAGTCAGTGTTTTTTCAACAAAAGATGTCTTGTTCGCTGCAGCTTTTCTTTAAGTGCAGTGGGAAGGAAACCCTGACACTTGCCAAATGGCAGGGGCCAGAGCTGGCAGGGAGAGAGCCACCATCCGATGGAGCGGCTCATGGGAAAGTGCTGGCCAAGGCTGGAACTGTGGGGATGGGGAAGGATAAGGCATCACATGCGGACCTGGAGGATGTAGCTGTGGCCCTGAAGCTCCATCAGTTTTGTCATCCCTCTGCTGCCTGATCAGCTCCACCATTTCCCTGGAAGGAGTTTTGGTTCTCTGCCCCTGTGCCTTGATGAACATGTGGCATGTCCCAAACAGCATGGGTGACATGGTGAGCCCTGGCTGCCCATGCCAGGGACCCGGGGTGAGAGACATGAAGCACATTGGTCGCCAGATTGAGGTGTCGTGGAGACTTGGCCTCAAACAGTAGAGAGCATCTTCATGGCTCCCTGCTCTCTCTTACAGGAGAAGTGGTGAACACCCATGGTCCCGTTGAGCCAGACAAAGACAATATCCGTCAGGAGCCATACACCTTGCCCCAGGGCTTCACCTGGGATGCCCTGGACCTTGGGGATAGAGGCGTGGTGAGTACAGGCAGCTCGATGCATGTGTTGGGAGGGTGACTCCATTGCACAGTTGGCAGTTCCATGCTTGGACTGATGAAGATGGTTTGGGGCATGGGAACATGTCTTTCACCACACCAGGCAACGCTCCAGCTCAGTGGTCATGCCATTTCCTTGGAGTTAGATGGGTCTGACTTCCCCCACCATGCAGTTACCTCCCACCCCACATTGACCAGGTTGGCCTGGTTTCTTCATGGGGATGTAAGGATGCCTGAAGCCAGAAGTGTTCCCTTCAGAAGACTCTCCAGACTGTGACCCACCTCCCTGGGAGATGACCTGAGGGCAGCAGGACTTATCTGTGTGTCCCGCTGCTTACCCTGCTCTGCAGCGGCATTGGTTCAGGAATCTGGAGCAGGGGGACGTGCTGGTAGCAGGGACATGGCTGCACGTGGCGCCCATTGCTGTGGCCACACAAAAAGCATTTGGGGTCCCATCTCGGGGCAGCTGGGGTGTGTGATGGCTGAATAACTTCCCTAACCTGCATGGTCTCTCCTGCTTTAGCTGAAAGAGCTGTATACACTTCTGAATGAGAACTATGTGGAGGACGACGACAACATGTTCCGGTTCGATTACTCTCCCGAGTTCCTGCTGTGGTGAGTGGCACCATGACCACAGAGCAGAGGGTGTTAGATGCTGGCAAGCCTGATCCCGGTGACAGCGTTGCAGCTGCCTTTGCTTATCCCCTCTCACTTCTTTCCAAAATCTCCCTTCCCCATCTGTCACCACGCGTGGGTGCAGTGTCCTAGGTACACTGCAAGAGGGGTCTCTCACCCAGCCCTGCCTGCCTCTGGCTTCTTTGAGATATGGGAGCCTAAAACTGGATTTTTTTCCCTCCTTGGTTTGATCCCTCAAGTGTTTGTAAAAATCGCAGTAGCTGAGGAACTTCCCAGTGCCCTGGAGCTGTAGGATGAAGGTGGCTGCCAAGTAATGCTGCCAGCACTAACACTTAGAGACCTGTTGCAGCGGAGCTGCTGCTTCTTCAGGGTGTTCATAAGTCGAGGAACATGGATTTCTTTCTGTGTCTCTCGTGAGAACTGGCCTTGGCCACAGAGTGCAGGAATTGCCCTGGATCCTGGCGGCTCTGCCTTGTCTGTCACCCTCTCATCCTCCTGCCTGCAAACCCACAGCTGCATTGAGCAGCCTGGAGCAGGACACAGGGCATCCCAAGACAAGGTGGGGAGGCAGAAGCAGGTACACTGGGGACCTTTGATGGGACATGACTTCTGAACTATATCTCTTCTCCAGGGCGTTGCGTCCTCCGGGCTGGTTGCCTCAGTGGCACTGTGGAGTCCGAGTTGTCTCCAGCAAGAAGCTGGTTGGATTTATCAGCGCGATTCCAGCCACTGTCCACATCTATGACAAGTGAGTGCTGCTCGGCTGCGTTTCTCATCCTGCCCCTTGATGGCATCTGGGGCTTCCTGGGAGTGCTGAGGAGGTCTGGCTACGTTGTCCTCCCCAACCAACCGAGCCAGACCCCACGCCATTCAGCCGTGGAGATGCTTTGCTGCTTGGAAGAGAAGGTGGGGGATATTTAAGGTGGGCAGTGAAGTTCTGTGCAAGGTCATCTTGTAGTTAGCAGCCGTGAAAGCTGTTTTCCTCAACGAGTGAGGTCAGCTTAGAGCTCTGGCTTACAGAAATCCTCCAGGGCTGAATGGAGACCATTTTCCCTGGGAAAACCTTGGCTAACAGTTTAAGGCAGAATTCTCCAGACCCAGCCCTTGCCCCTTGGCCTTCCCTGAGGCTTTGACTCCTCTTTCTCTTGAAGGGGCTGAAGGTAAATTGCCCAGGGCATTGGACTGATCCTCCCAGGTCAGGACAGTTGGGTCTCATGCTCTGCATTGTTTCTTTCCCAAGAGAGAAGAAGATGGTAGAGATAAACTTCCTGTGCGTCCACAAAAAGTTGCGCTCAAAACGGGTGGCTCCAGTTTTGATCCGCGAGATCACACGGCGGGTTCATCTGGAGGGGATCTTTCAGGCTGTTTACACAGCGGGAGTGGTGCTGCCAAAGCCTGTGGGGACTTGCAGGTGAGTGTTGATGGTTCTCCAAAGAGATTTTGGTCTGCAGACCTTCCCTTGCCAGGATCCTCTGTGGTGTGGAGCGTGCGTGGGATTCCCCATGACAGGAGAGATCAATTCCAGCCCAGGTTTCTCCTCCCCATACTGTCCTTCCAGGATTAAGCCCAGTAGCTTTGCTTAAGCTGCTCATGTATCACAATGCAGGAGACTTCCTGCAGTACAAGTGCTTCGGGCTGCCCTTGTTTTTCTCTGCGGGAGCTGCTGGCCTCTTCACGAGCCGGTGCAATGTTCTCGCTTGCCCTCTCATGGCAGCTATGAGAACCTCGTGCCCATGCAGCTGTCCTGCTGCCCAAGAACAAGTCTCCCACCACAAGTGTGTTTCTACAGGTACTGGCACCGGTCCCTGAATCCTCGGAAACTCATCGAGGTCAAATTTTCCCACCTGAGCAGGAACATGACTATGCAACGTACCATGAAGCTTTACCGGTTGCCCGAGGTGGGTGCCAGCCGAGGCTACGAGCCACAGAGGCAGAGCTCACAAATTGCTCCTTGCTGAGCAAAGGGGCGAGGCTGGGAACTGGAGACACAAACATCTCAGCCGAGGTCAAGTCCTCTGCCTGGAGAACTGGCGTTTGTTTCGTGTAGTAAATGACTCTGTCAAGCCATTGTGCTTTATTTAATCTTTATTTATTTTTGCCCGGGTACCTGCAATTTAAGGGCAAATTCTTGCAGCTAGAAGACCCTGTGAGCTTTTGTTTCATGGTGAGTCATATCCCGTCCTCCTGGTAAAACGAGAACGCAGATATGACAGCCTTCATCTGTCCAAACACAGCCTCGGAGTGACCTTGAATGAGGGACTAACCCAATTCTTCAGTCAAACTGATCGGTTCTGTCACTGCAGTTGTCCTGCTGGGGAAGTTCCCCAGCTGGATATAGGAGAAAAGACAAACAAAGCATTAAAATTGCCACCACCTTCCTCGACCTTGTTGGCTTCCTTCTGTCGGTGAGAGCTGCTCGTTTTGGTCGGAGAGCGCTGCTTTAGTGCTGGGCAGCACATGGCTCCTCTCTCCTGCCTCCCACCTCAGCAAAGGCACCAGCTGCTGTTTTGTAGCTCCTGATTTTTGCGCAGCAACCCAGACCCAGAAGCAGTCCGTGCTGCTTGATCTGGCCTTTGATGAGCGATGCTGCCCCTAGATTAGAAATTGAATCCAACTGGGAATAACATCAGGTGGATCCTTGCGGTTCCTTGCGGTGCCTGGGACATGTCTCCCAGCCCATCCCCGCTGCGAGTGGGAGCAGAGACCTGGAGGGAAGCAGAGATCTTGTGTCATTTGTGGGTAGGAGGCCACTTCCAGTGGGACTTGGCCTGGCACGTGGGGCTTTGGGACCTGCTGTGCTTCTCTGTGATCTTTGCCATCGGTGTCATGACCAATCACATCCGTCTTTCTGCCAGGCAGAGAGGGCTGGGGGGGAGGGTGCTGGCTTTTGGGACGGAAAATGGGCTGATCCTAAGCAGAGAACATCTCCGTGCTGCTTGTCAGAGAGCCCTTGAGTGATAAAAGCCACTGTGTAAGCAACGCAAACATTTTGTCCCACTTTCTGTAGACTCCCAAGACTCCCGGCTTGCGGCCAATGGAGCACAGAGATATCTCTGCAGTGCATAAGCTCTTGACTGAGTACCTGAAGCAGTTCCACCTGATGCCTGTCATGAGCCGAGAGGAGGTGGAGCACTGGTTCTTACCTCAGGAGAACATCATCGACACCTTTGTGGTAGAGGTAAGGGAGCAGGAGCGAGACAGGGGTGTGTTTTGTGTTTTCCTGGGCTTCTGCCTCCGCTGGAGGAGTGTGCAGAGAGCTGTGGGAGCGGTCGAGGAGGTTGCTGCCCCGGGTGGTGAGATGCTCTTGCAGGGTGGGAGGTTTGAGCTGCTGGAGGATGGTGCCTCTCCATCGTGGGCTGCCCCGAGTCCCCTCGCAGGGGGCCCACACGTCACTCAGACTGGCAGAGCCCCTCAGAGGCTCTGGCTGGGCTTTATCCTGGCTCTGATGTGTTGTGGTGTCACTTCTGGCTTCCAGAGTGCCCCAGGGGAGGTGACAGATTTCCTGAGCTTCTACACGCTGCCCTCCACCATCATGAACCACCCGACTCACAAGAGCCTGAAAGCTGCTTACTCCTTCTACAACGTTCACACCAAGACGCCTCTCATTGACCTCATGAGCGATGCTCTCATACTCGCCAAGTCGGTGAGTGATGGTGGGGCCAGGGTGGCACCATGGGGCACCGGGCAGCTCACTGCTTGCCTGGCCGCCCTCGGGTTCATGGGGAGGGTCAGCCATGGGGCAGGGCTTGTACCCAGGGCTGTACAAACCCAAATCCTAAAGGATCTGCTGCCCAGGAGAGGGACGCAGGGGTAGCCCAAACCTTCTGGCTGGCATTGAGCTGAGTTCAGGGTGACTACTTGTTTCTTCCAGCAAACTATATTGCTGTATGTCTGTAGCACTTGAACCAAGGGTGAGTATGCCGATGCTAAGTTCTTCCCCATCAGCCTCGCTCCCTTTTTCTGGGGGTGCAAAGCTGGACAGGAGAGGGTACAGGCAGCTCACAGATGGGAGGAGCTCCCCAGCACGTAAGCAGGAGGAGCTCCCCAGCACGTAAGCAGGAGGAGCTGATGGTTTCATGTCTTGCCTGTGCAGAAAGGATTTGACGTCTTCAATGCACTGGATCTCATGGAAAACAAAACCTTCCTGGAGAAGCTGAAGTTTGGGATTGGGGACGGGAACCTGCAGTATTACCTGTACAATTGGAAGTGTCCCAGCATGGCACCAGAGAAGGTCAGTGCCTTGGGGTGGTGGGCCCCTCCAGGCAGAGGGCTGCAGGGTGACAGATGTGACACCAGTGGTTAACAGTCACTTGTCCATACCTGGGACATGGTTGCTGTGCCCTGTGAGCCCGCACGAGGCCCAGGTGTCACCGTGCAGCCCTGTAGTCTGTTGTGGTGGGGCGAGACCAAGAACAACCCCTCTAGAGAGAACAGCTAAGCTTGAGAGCTGTTGGGTCGGTGTTGAGCAGGACCCTATGATGATAGGGAGCTCTGCCAGCACAGTTGCTCATAGCATGTGTGGAGCGGCTGAGCCATGGGATCACTGGGGTGCCACCTTGTCCCCACAGCCAGCAGCTCGCTCCCCACCCAAGCGCTGCAGCCGTAGCCACCGCGTCTGTCTGCCCTGGGCCATTTTTAGCCAGCACCTGGTTCCTACCATGTCTCTACCCTGACGATGTGGTTCAGCATCCGTCCGGTCCACAGCCACCTTGAAGAGGATGGTGCTTGAGAACCAGAAGCCACCTGACTGCGCAGTGCTGCAGCCTGCCTGCACTATGGCACAACAGCTAATTAATGCCTTAATGGCAGTAACAGGGCCCTGGTTCCCTTCGCAGAGCCTGTGAAGCCAGGTCTCTGTGGGTACAAGTCCATGCAACTTAAACCAGCCTTGTTGGGCCACTGAGCTTTTCAAAAAGCTCCAGGAGGTTGCCGGGAGGTTTAAACAATCCCTTTTCTCCCTAGGAGAGCTGGTGGGTTGGAGAGCCTGGTGCTGGGAGCCACTCTTCGGCCATACCCTGCGGGTCGGAGGCCAGGACCAGCCACCAGCATCACACAGCAGCCAGAGAGCACCCAGCAGTGCTGGCTGCCTGCAGAGGGGCCTGTCCCAGTACCAGGCTCTCAGGAAGCAGCTTCTCCCAAATCTGGTGTTACTTAGCTTAGAAGCAACCTTGGCTCGTAAATCAAGGCTGTCTTGCAGACTGCCTGGGCTTGTCACACCCCAAATATTGGTCACCTCCCCATATCAGAGACGGGCAGGGTCCGTGCACCTATTTGGCAGGGCTCTCCCTGCTCTCAAGTACCCTAAAGCCTATGGGGAAAGCCATGGACAGTGCTGAGCCCTCCCAGCCGGCACGGTGAGGGCATGCGAGCTGCATCCGCCCGGAGCCAGGTCTGAGGGAGAGGTCGCTGGCAGTCAGGCACATCTTGATCTGCTGTCTCCGTTGGCTCCTCCAGGTTGGCCTGGTGTTGCAGTAAATCAGCCCTTGCTAGGAGAGCGCGGCACCGCCGAGGAGCTGGGCCCAGTGGAGGTGATGCCCTCATCCTTTCTGCTGAAGCTGGACCCATGCTGGGAAAGGTGGAACCAAACCAGCTGTGCAGCCACTCACCACCTGGATTCACCGACTGCGTCCCGCAGCGCCGGCCGCCGCTCCCCCGCTGGCATCAGCGGTCTCCTTTGTTTTGATTTAATTGCATCTTCGTAAAGACGTGATCAAGGGAATGTAACTGCTGAAACTAGCTCATGATTGGCATATAATGGAGTTAACGGGTGAATAATAAAAGTATATATTATATATATTTTAAATCTTTCCTGTTCCAAACTGACGTGAGTTGCATTCATCTGCTGAAGGCCACCTCCAGGTCGCTGGACCATGACTTTTCTCGACGGGGCCATCCAAGGTAGATGTGTGCTGCGCCGAACGGCTCCGGCACCGGCCTGGTGGAGCACCGGGATGTGGTGGCTGAGCTGCCGAGCTCTCCTGCCTGCCTGGAGGGTGTTTGGGGCTCTGTCCCCTGCTCAGCTGTTTTCCCCTGGTTTGCTCCCTCCTCTGTTAAACTTGGTCCTTCCCACAGGTGCCTGGAGAGGGAGGATGGCACCATCCCTCCCTGCGGCCTTGGGAGCACGTCAAAATTTCTTTCTAAGGGCTATTAGTGCAAGCGATGCCTTGTCCCTTCTCCCTAGCCTTGGAGACTTGAACCCTCTCTGCTCAACAGGGCAAGCGCTGAACTGAGGAGCAGCAATGCCTGAAGATACGGGGCAACTCGGCTCCTCGCTGCCTCCGGAGATCGGCCGGTGCACCCCGCTCTGCTTGGACTCCTGGGGCTCATTCCCCTCCGCCACCCCCCTGTGATGCCAGGGCTGTGGGCTTCAGGGGGATGCTCCATCACCGCTGCTGCACCTCGAGGCTCTGCTCAGCTGCTTTTCTCTGGAAGCATGGAAATACGGATACACATGCAAGTGACTGCCCTGCAATGCGCCATTGGCATCGCCCCGGGGCTTCAGCCTCTCCAGCCCACCCCGGTGCCTCCTCCACCAGGGTCATCATCTTGTGATATGGGAACCTCCGAGGTAAAGGAAATGTTTTCTTTCATGGAAAACCTTTATCCCATCAAGGTATCTTGGGAAACAAGCACCCGGGCAGCCTGCCGCCTCCCGCTGTGACATGAACCGTGTCCATGAAGAGCTCAGAGATGCTCCTGCCCTCCCAGCCAAAGGTTTCCAAAGCTGCACACCAAGGCCAAGACCCCGTCTATGCACTCCTGCACCTCCCTGGCCCTCTGTGCCCCTGTTGTGCCCCATGGCACACCATGGACCCCCAGGGGTTTTGCCCACCCCAGCCTGGACCTGCAGGGCCTCGGTGGGGGCCCAGGAGCCCGTCACATCCCCCCTGGCAGCGCTGTCGCATCCCCCTTGCTCGGATCCCATGTCACCTATGCAAGTACCTCTGTGTCCCCTCCTGTGTCCCCAGTGTCCCAGGCGGGGGGAGGCTGGATGTGTGAGGGCAGTGGCCAGCGGGACCCTCCCTCTGGCCCTGTGGCGGTTTTGAGGGCTTCTCCAACGCATCCCCACGATGGGTGCAGCACCCATGGGTGCTTGGCAGCTCCCCAGGGCAGTGCTGCATTTAAGGTGGGGACTCCAGCCCTCATCCCCCCCCAGCCTCTCCCCCCCAACACCCAACGGGCCCGGGGAGGTGACAGGGACGCTGGGACAGGCTTTGTTAAAATAAAACCTTTATTTGACTGGCTTGACACCAGGGTACGAATCTGTGACCGTCACCGGTGCTGGAGCAGGGGTTGGGAATGTGGCTGCCAGCCAAGCGAAGCCTCGACTCCATGGATGCACGTGGTGGCAGGGTCCCCTTGGGAACCTCACAGTGATGGCACTGTCATTGCATCCCAAAGTGGGGCTGGGACCAAGTGTGGTTGGCGGTGGTGAAGTTCAGGGGTTGCTGTCACCCATTTCACCCCCCCCAGGGCTGTGCTGGGCTTTCGATGGCCCAGCCACCCTGTCCTGGTTGTCACAGTGTCCCCATCCCCTCGGGGTCACAGCCAGGGAGGGGAGGAGTGGGGCATTCGGGCCAGCAGATGGGGTGGTACCATGGGACAATGGAGGGGGTCCCCCTACCCCGGTGGGTCCCCCAACCAGCCACCGCAGCCAGGCAAGCGGTGTCCCCAGGCTGTCCCCATGCAGAGAGTGGGGTGCCTCAGGTGCAGGAGGGTGCCCACCCCATGGAGGACCACGTCGTCTCCCACACAGGGACACGATGTCCCTCCTGCCAGGACTGCAGGGACCTCACAGGGTCTTGCATCGGACGTGCACAAAGAGCGTAGCAGGGGACAGGGACGCGCGGTCCTTGGAGAGCAGATGGATGTGACGATACCCTGGGGACAGAGGTGGGGGCTGAGCGGGTGGCAGGGGACTGTCCCCGTCCCCGGGGGCAGCAGGGGGGGCACCCACCCACCTTCCCTCATGCTGGCCAGGGGCAGGGTGAACTGGCCCACGAAGTCATTGCAGGAGGTGCTGTCGTAGTCCTCCACCACGAAGCGCACCAGGGCCAGCTCGGGTGCCCGCAGCTGGAAACTCAGCGTCTCCTCCCAGCGCGGGTT